GATTTTAGTCGTTTAACTAATATATTTATTACTATTATTTATCTAGGGATAATAAGCTATAGAATATAATAGTTTAATTTTTAATTTATCGAATATAGCTTTTTATAGCTCTAATAGAAATTTAAAATCTCTATTAGATAGTAAGATCTTTAATATTCTTTAATTATTTATATAGAGGCGATTTAATAGAGTAATAGTTTACTCTTTAGTATTTTAAATAGATTTATTAGAGATATAAGTAATTCGCTTTATAAATTTATTTATAATAATTATTATATAATTAAATTTCTTATTAGATAGTAATATAATAAGAATAAAATTAAGCGTTAAGATATAAAAAGATAGAGTAAAACTCTTTATAGATTATAGATAATTATAAGATTTATAATAATAAGTTTATAATACTAGATATTTAGAATAATACTTAATATAGCTATAAAAGTACTTAAATAATCCTTATATATATTATAATTTAAAGATTATATTAAAAGATCTTTTAAAATCTAGATAATTATCTCTATAGGCGATTTCGAGAATATCTTTAATTAGCGATTAAGATATATATAATTATTTAAGATTAATAAATTTATTCTTATAAAAAATAAGATTAGAGTTTATAATATTACGAATAAAAGAAAGTTTAATACTCTTATTCTTTATTATTAACTTTATATTAATATTAATAATATTAATAATTCTTATCTAATATAAATTTATACTATATCTAATAATAAGCTTATTATAAAAGACTTTATTTATCTCTATTACGATAGTAGAGTAATTATAGATATTATTATAATTTATTATTTATATAATATAAATATATAAGATGTTAAGCTTTAAGTAGTTTTTAAATAGCGTTAATTTATCGATACTAGTAAGATATAAGAAAGCGTCTAATATAATATATTCCTTATTAAACTTATATTTTATATCGAGATAAAATTAATAAAGAAATTAAGAAGTATATATTAATTATATATTTAGTTTTATTATAAACGTTATAGAAGTAATAGAAGATTACTTTATAATATTAAGAATAATTAAATAATTAATTTAAATAATAATAGATCGCTTAGACGACTTTATAAGATATCGAATCTTCTTAATAATTTATATAAATTTTACTATCTCGAGTTCTATAGACTAATAATTCTTCTTAGCGAATATTAATATTCTTAATAAGTATATAATTAGCTCTATAGCGATTCTAGATAATTACTTAATATTAATTATAATAATATATTTCTTCTTAATATAAAATACTTATATACCGAAATCTTATTCTTTAAAAATATTAAGATTTATTTATAAATCTTTATTTAAATCGAAGTATATAAGTAATAAGAGCTTACTTAAAGCTTTCTATAGACTTTTAAAGCTTTATTTCTTTTATAAAGAAATCTCTAATAAATAAAGTTTAAAGAAGTAAATATAACGTAGATTACTTTTAATTAATATCTCTTTAAATAAGCGAGTTTTTAATACTTATAAAGAATTAGTAAGCTATATATAATTGTAAATTAAACTTCTTAAATAGCCTATTAATTTAAAATAGTATTTAAAATTATTAAATATATTAAGATAAGTGATCTTATTAATAACTTTTAACTTATTCTTAACTATTATTATATTAAAAGAATTAATTTAATAATCTAATAAATTAATATTAGAGTATCTTAAAAAGGTTTTTATAGGCGTAATAATAATATTATATTTAATTAAGATTTAAAATAACTTTTAAAGATATATAATATATTTCTTTAAGATTTTAGAGTCTAATATAATATTATCGATATATATTTAAATAAAATCTTTAATAAATTATAAGATTTTATTAATCTATCGCTATATATAAGCTATAGAATTTATATATTCTATAATTAATATATTAAAAGTTTCTTAATCTTAATAAGAAATTATAATAAGTATATAGTAATAATTATAGTAAATAAGCTATTAATAGAAGAAAGATATTATATTAAATATAAATAAATAAATATATCTTAATAATCTTATTATACTATCTAATTATAATAATATAAGATATATATCTAAAATAATAAGATTATTAAGATCTTTAATATTTATTATAGCTCTCTTCTTTTATTTATTATTTAATAGCGTTTTTTAAATTATAAATTTAGAATAATTAAATAGAGTAAGCTTAATAGTATATTTAAGCTTATTTTATTATTATAAATTATTAAATATATTATTAATTACTTCTTTATTATTAATATCTAGAGAATAAATCTTTATATAATTTAATTTTAATAATTTATTTTACTAGTTATCGCGTAGCGTAATCTTTATTTAATTATTTTTAAATATTTTAATAAAGTCTTTATCTTTTTATAAGATAGAAAATTTATTAATTAGATTTATTAGAATTTAAATATTATATTTATTATTATAAATTATAATATTATTTAATAGCTTAATCTCTCTAGTAAGATTTAATTAAGATATAATAATATTATAAATAAGCTATAAGAGGCTATTAATTATATTTATTAATATTATTATAATAAGAATAATTATTTTTTTAATTTAATTATTTATAATAAGTTTATCTATAAAAGACTTCGGCGAAGGCTCTATAAAGAAGATATTTTTATAATTAACTTTATATAATATATCTAGATAGAATTTCTTAAGAATTTAAATAACTTAATTAATTTTATTTTTAATTAGAATTCTAGCGATATATAAATTTATAAGATAAATATATAGAGTTAAATTTCGCTATATTATTAGTTTAAAAATATAATCTCTCTTAGATAATTCTTTAGAAGAGTTAATAGATATTATAATATTAATATAAAATATTATAATTAAGATCTTATAAATATAAATAATATATCTCTAATATAAATTATATTATTAATTAATAATATTAATAATAATAATATAATTATTAATATATACTTTAACTTAAATAATATTAAGTATAATCTTTTCGAGATCTATAATATTATTTTCTAATAATATATAAACTTTTAAATTATTAATAAGATAAATTTCTTTTTAAATATAATAGAGAATCTTACTATCGTCTATCTTACTAATAAAGATATATATTAAAATTAAAATATACTTATTAATATTATATATAATTAAATTTAAACTCTTAATATAAAGAGGTAAAATTATTCTTCGAATTTTTATAAAAGATAATAATACTAATAATTATAATTTATTCGCTAGAATAACTTTATAATCGATATTAATATAAATTTTTTTATTAATTATATTAGACTATAGACGTATAAAAATAAAAATATAGTTTTATTTTTAAAAAGTAACTTTTATATCTAGATTAGACTTTTTAATAAAACTAAAATTAATAATTTTAATAAAACTAAAATCTTAGTAATAGAAGACTTCTAATTAATAAATAAAAGGCTTTACTTAATTATAAAAAGCTCTTATAAATAACTCTTTTATAAATATTTATAGAGTTTTATTTTAAATATAAATAATATATCGTAGTTTTAATAGACTATATAAATATCGACGAAGTTAGTATAGACTTTTTTATATAGCTATTCTTTATAATCGTTAGCGAAGCTTTTCTTAAATAATTTATCTTAATAAACTTTTTATATTTTATTATATTTTTAAAAGATATTAGATTAATTCTTATTAATATAATTAGCTTAATTATAAATTATTTAATTATTATAATTAGCTTAATAAATAGTAATTTAACTACGATAAATATCTTATAATTATTATAATTACTTATTTCTATTACTTTAATAACCGCGATCATCTTATTTTAAAAATCTTTTATCTTAAAAAGAATTTAATTACTTAAATTAATTCGAGAATATCGAATTTAATATATTTAAAGGACTAGCGATTTAAAGGCGTAAGGATATAATAAATAAATAATTATCTTACGAAGGAGCGTATTGCTAATTTAATTAATAATCGTACTATTAATTATTATAAGTGTATTATCTTCTATTATAAGGTTTATTCTAATAGCTAGAAGACTATTATAAATAGAATTAAAACTAAAAAAAGTTAAAAATTTAATTTTTATAGTTTTATTAATCTTAATAATTAATATTTAATTAATTTTATCGAAGATCTTATTAAAAGATTTAATTAGGAAGGTGTATCGAGTGTGGAGGATTGATCCGTAATAATTGCCCATAAAAAACAGAGAAAGGCCATGTCCTTATGGCAAGAAGTATCGAAATACCGGAAAGAAATGGAGACAACATACCAATTAGTGGTGTGAATCCCACATTATCTCCTGCCGCAGTGAAATCTTTCGAATAATGAAATAGCTGTCAGAGCAAGACATCGGACGGTTTCAATTCGTCCAAATATGCATCGTTCCGGAGTGATGATTTGATGTGGAACCGTGGAGAGCATATAAGGTGGGATCTTGGAGAGCTGAGCCGTGTTCTTGACGATGGTGGCCTTGTTGCCGCTTAGTTTCTCCGCAGTGTTCTCCGCATTTGCCTGTTGTAGTTCCTCCTCTTGCTCCTTAATGCAGTGGGGATGATAGGCCAAGTTGCAGTGGTGTTCTCCGCTTGCTGAGTGATGATTTGATGTAGAACCGTGGAGAGCATATGATGTGGGATTTTGGAGAGCTGAGCCGTGTTCTTGGTGCTGGGGGCCTTGTTTCCGCTTGGTTTCTCCGCAGTGTTCTCCATAGTGTTCTCCGCAGTGTTCTCCGCATTTGCCTGTTGTAGTTCCTCCTCTTACTTCTTAATGTAGTGGGGATGATAGGCTAAGTTGCAGTGGTGTTCTCCGCTTGTTGAGTGATGATTTGATATGGAACCGTGCTTGGTGCTGGGGGCCTTGTTGCCGCTTGGTTTCTCCGTAGTGTTCTCCGCATTCGCCTGCTGTAGTGACTTCTCTTGCATTGGCTGAGTGGATTGGTGTGAGACCGTGGAGAGTAGGCCTGTTGTGTCACTGCTGCTGATGACTGTCTCCGCAATATTCTCCGCATTTACCTGCTGCAGTGGTTCCTCCTCTTACTGAGTATCGGGTTGGTGTGAGACCGTGGAGAGTAGGCCTGTTGTGTCACTGCTGCTGATGACTGTCTCCGCAATGTTCTCCGCAGTGTTCTCCGCATTCGCCTGTTGTAGATCCTCCTCTTGCTCCTCAATGTAGTGGGGATGACAGGCCAAGTTGCAGTGGTGTTCTCCGCTTGCTGAGTGATGATTTGATGTGGAACGGCCAAGTTGCAGTGGTGTTCTCCGCTTGCTGAGTGATGATTTGATGTGGAACCGTGGAGAGCATATGACGTGGGATCTTGGAGAGCTGAGCCGTGTTCTTGACGATGGTGGCCTTGTTGCCGCTTGGTTTCTCCGCAGTGTTCTCCGCATTTGCCTGTTGTAGTTCCTCCTCTTGCTCCTCAATGTAGTGGGGATAACAGGCCAAGTTGCAGTGGTGTTCTCCGCTTGCTGAGTGATGATTTGATGTGGAACCGTGGAGAGCATATGACGTGGGATCTTGGAGAGCTGAGCCGTGTTCTTGACGATGGTGGCCTTGTTGCCGCTTGGTTTCTCCGCAGTGTTCTCCGCATTTGCCTGTTGTAGTTCCTCCTCTTGCTCCTCAATGTAGTGGGGATAACAGGCCAAGTTGCAGTGGTGTTCTCCGCTTGCTGAGTGATGATTTGATGTGGAACCGTGGAGAGCATATGACGTGGGATCTTGGAGAGCTGAGCCGTGTTCTTGACGATGGTGGCCTTGTTGCCGCTTGGTTTCTCCGCAGTGTTCTCCGCATTTGCCTGTTGTAGTTCCTCCTCTTACTCCTCAATTCAGTGGGGATAACAGGCCAAGTTACAGTGGTGTTCTCCGCTTACTAAGTGATGATTTGATGTGGAATCGTGGAGAGCATATGACGTCCGGACGCGTTTGGTGTGACTACAATATTTGAATGTTAGTTTAACCCACTTACCGCTGGCTTGGGAGGAGTATATACCCTTCTACTACATATACACCCCTTTCTACTATATACACTCTATTATTTCAAAGAAGATTTACCGCACTAAGCTACCCCCCTAACGTCTCTAGAAAAAAACCCTCGAAATAAGTCGGGCGTAGAAGCAATTTAGGCGAGAAAGTAGCTAAATAAAAGGGCTAGAAGAGGGAGTAGAGATAGCGAAGAGGGAGAGTAGAGATAGCCGTTCTTCTAAGATAGTATTTAAAGAAATATTTAAAAGTAACTTAAGATTATTAAAGTCTCTTATATATAAAAAGTATTTATACGCGAATTTTAGGCGTAGCGTAGCTTAAGTATCTAGAGAAGCTTTCGTATTAATAAGTTAAATATTTAAAACATCTTAAATAGCACTATATTAAGAGATAAAAAAACGATAAAGTAAGTAGTTAATAGGGTTCTTCTAACTACTCTCTATAGCAGCTTTTAAAATTTTAATAGCACTTTAGATTATAAGAGACTATCTAAAAAAATTTGATATAGAATAAGTTCTTAAGGACTCTATAACTATACTCTCTATACGTCGCGATTATAAACGGCTAAACTATATTAGAAATACGTTATTAATCAACTTATTAATAGATCTTAATACGCGAGTCTAGAAGGATATAATAAAGTGAGGTTTTATTTAATACCCGCCTAATATCTATAACTTAGCCCACTTAGCCCACTTAGCCTACTCTTATTAGTATATACTACTAAAGAAATCCGAAGAAAGAGAATAAAGAGAATAAAAGGAAGAAAGAGAAGAAAGAGGAGATAGATGATTAATAATAAAGGGTTATTACTTAGTCGAGAGTTAATCGTAAAATAAAAGAAGAAAGAATCGTATAAAATCAAATAACTTAAATAGCTTAAAAATACTATATTCGAGGATTAGCCGAATCGTATACTAGTTCTTAATATTAAATCTACTTATCTATAGAGGTCTAGCTATTAGAGTATCGCCTTATTACTCCTATTATTAGACTAGCCTCTAAGCCTCTACGCCTATCTTCTAACCTCGCGAACCCTCTCTCTTTTAAATTTAAGTCGTCGCGGTCGCTAAGTAAGCGATCTTATTAATAGAGGATTCGTAGATATTTGATATTTAGAGTTATACTTCTTTTAGTAGCTAAGTACTCGTTCTAGCGAGTATCTTAATAAATTCGATTTATACTTCTTATTAGTATTAGATATCGCCTAATCTTAAAGACGCTCGACGATAGACCTAAATCGGTCGGGCTTTATAAATAATCTATCGATCGACGTATCGAAATAAGGAGGAGAAGAGATATCATCTATATTCGTAGCGTAACTATACTATTATCTAATAAGCTTATAAGATACTCGCAGAGCCTATTACTTTCGCTACTTAACTACGTCTTCTTTAATACCTTTAGAATCCCTTTATCGATTCTATATATAATTATTAAGAGACTTCTATAGATAACCGCCGAAGTTATCCACTTCTAAATCTCACTTATATCCTTTATTCTTTAAGCTAGGGGTCTTCTAATATAGCTAATTAAGTTATAAAATTAGATAAGAAGCTCTTATCGTTAGAGTCGCTAATAGCTATATTCTTATCGAATTTAGATACTCTAAGAGATATACGCTTAACATCGAATTTCGAAGTATAATTATTATCGAAGTCTAAGAACGCTAAGAACGCTAAGGACGCTAAGAACGCTACGGCGTCTGAGAGGTTCGATTATAGTACGCTCTAATAGGGCTGATATAGCTATATCGCCTCGCCCTCGCCCTCACCCTTATTCTTCTCCTTATTCTCGCTTTTTAACTTATTTAGATACTTCTTTATACTTAATATTATTACTCCGCTAAGTTAGATACGCCTTTAACTCCACTCGCTTAAATTACGAGGATACTCATCTTATAGAATTCTCGAATTCTAACTCTGTATAAGAAGAAAGCTTTTTTTAATTATCCGTAAGTCTATCTATTATAACTACGATAGCCGATTTATAAATAGTAAGAAATAAATTAATTAACTACTATAGATCCTCTATCTCGATAAAGACCTCTTATATAGAAAAGGCGGCCGGCTTCTTATATTGCTAATAAGGATATATATCGTAAAGCTAAAGTGTTTTAGCGCCTTCTATAATTCTCGTCTATACCCTATAAATATATAGTAGTTTAGAGACTATAATAAAACTATTAGTATATTCTTTTAGCTCCTCTTTATCGATAATCTTCTAATATTAATTTAATACTCGACGTAAGGCGAATAATGTTATATAAGTAATAATATCGCGAAATATCTTCTTTCGAAGGTTAATTAATATAGTCTATTTTATACTCTAAATATCGGCGATATATATAATACGCTAAATTGAAAGAAGCTTTACGATACTCTTAGTTATAGTCTTAAGATCTTCTACTCGATATTAGTCTATAATTATATAAAAATAAGAGAAAAGACCTCTTATTAGTTAAAAACCTAAGCTCCCTCTTTAGATCTATATTATTACTTTCGCCTTTAAAGCTTATAATATTAAAGAAATAAGGTAATTAATTAATATAGCATCGAACGTATTTAGTTTTATATAAATTAATTTACTCCTTAGCTAGATAGGCGTAAATTACGATATTATTACGATTATAAATCTTTTAAATAAACTTTTACTTAGCCTTAAAAGTAGTTATAGTAATTACGTATATAACTCGAAATTAGTAGAGCGTAGAACTTATTCTAATCTTTCTTAATATAGAAAAATAGCTTATATTTAGCGACTATATTTCTATTAATATATTAGATATAAAGTATATACGTAGAGTCTAAATAGACCTTATCGTAAGTATTAATTAGAGACTTCTAGCGGTCGATAATATTAATAAGAGAGTCTCGAATATTTAGCTTAATATATATATCTTAATACTACTATAGCGCCTATAGATAGTTCTTATCTTTCTTCATAGCTAGAAAGTAGAAGGTTAGTATAGAAAGAACTATTTAGCGCGATAATACCCGTGATAATAAGTAAAGATAGCTTATATCGATTTATCTTATACGTAGCGTTTATAATAAGTACCTTCTAATTCTCTTTCAGTATCTTATAATAGAATATTCGCGAAAAGAAGAGGTATATAACTCGATTCCTCGAGTTCTTTAGAAAACGAATATATTATTCGTTTAATATATATAGCTATTTAAGTAGAGCTTATATTAATATAAGAGGTTTTAATACTCGATAGCGAACTTTCGATTTCGCGTTATAGATATCTTTAAGCTTTTAAATCGAGTTCTTCTTATAATCTTTATTAAGATTATATAGAATATTATCTAATATAGTATATTTAATCGACTCTCTAATAATTACCTCTTCTATCTAACTAGTTAAGATAGTATTTCGATATACTATATAAATTACTCATTTACTAGAGTTATAATTATAAAACTCCTCTTTAATCCTTAAGCGCTACATATTCTTCTTCTTATCGAGCTTTAGAATATACTTAAACGGGTAATTATTAAGATGTAAGATTCTATACTTTCTCTTCTACTTAATTAATTTATAAATCTTACCTCTACGGGTATAGCGCAGTTAGACTTTATTCGTTTTATTTATTCTATTCTTATTTAAGCGTTTCTTAACGAACGGCGTAGTCTTACTTAAGAGCGTATTCTTAGATAAATAAGATAAGAAGAGTATTAGTAGGCGTAGTGAGGTCTAATAATAGCGAAACTAGATCTATAATAAAGGAGTAAAGAGTAAAGAGTAAAAATACCTTTAATAGATAGATTTAATATTTATAGAAATTTCAATTGATAAAGTGCGATACCAAGAAGAGAGTAGATACTAAGATCATTAGAGTTTCTATAAGACTTATATCGTATCTCGAATTTAAGAGGTAACTATATTAGATCGAATAGTATTAAGAAGATATACTCGTATTACTAGCCTATATTTTTTTTTTTTTTGTGGTTTTTTTTTAGTTGGTGGGTTTTTTATAAAGAGGAGGGGATTTTTTTTAGTTTTTAAATTTTTATTTTTTTTTTTATTTTTTTATTAAATTTTAAATTTTTTATTTTTTTTAAAATTTAAAAAAGGAAAAATTTTTTTTAAATTTTAAAAATTTAATTTATATTTTTTAATTTTATATTTTATAATTTAAAAGTAAAAAATTTTTAATTTATATTTTTTGGGGGGGGGGGGGGGGAGGGGTTTAAGTGTCTCGCTCAACCTAACAAACAAAAGAAGCAAAAATAAATTATTTTTTGTTTTCAAAAAAAAATTTAAATTTTTTTAAACCTTACCCAATTTTTTTTTATTAAAAATTATTATATTTTAATTTTAATTTTTTTTAATTTTTTTTTAAAAAAAAAAAAAATTAAATAAAAATTAAAAAAAAAAAAAAAAAAAAAAGAAGGAAGGGTAAAAAAAAAAAAATAAAAAAAAAAAAGAAAGGGGATAGTAGAGAAATTAAGATTAAGAGAAGAAGACTCTTTTTAACTTTATAAATTTTATAAATAAAATTATTAATTATAAAATTATAATAGATTAATAAGAGAAATAGCTCTCTTATCCTCGCTATTTAAAATATTAATCTTTAAATAAAATTAAGTTAATATTTTTAACTTTTTTTAATTATTAATAAAGAAGAAGATAAAAAAAGTTTAATTATAGGAGATAAGCTTAATTTATACTTTATTTTTAATAGTAAAAAGTGAGATATTAAGAGAAATAGCTCTATTAAATTATATTAAATTAAAATCTAAATCTAGATTAAGATCTTTATATATATTAATATAAGAGAATAAAATAATATCTATTTAACGTAGTAAGAAAGAGAAAGATATCGCCGCTTTAGTAATATTAACCTTTAAAGATAATAGATAGCTCTATTTAAAAATACTATTCGAACTATAAAAAAAGTAAAATAAATTAATTTTAAAATAAATTATAAAGAGGTTAAAGAAGATTATAAAGCTTAAAAATATAATATTTATAAAACTCTATAACGTTAAAAGCTAAATAATATATTATTATT